TATCCCACTCTCGTTAATACTCGACTATGGACATTCAGATAAATATTTATTTCAAGATGTTAGTCTCATCAGCAGAATAACACTATCTGATAAACATCTTTAAATATAAATCTAGGAATATAATATTTGTTTACATTAGCATGAGATGTGTAAACATATTATATCTGCCTATACGTGATAGGATAACGATGAACAGTTGGCCATCAGGGCACAACTCCAACAAGAATTATGTAGCCGAGAAAAATCAGACGTCACATGGGTGTTCGCTCAAGTGTCCAGATGCCAGTTCGGATTGGTGTCAACAGATTGATTGGTGTAGTATGCCTGTGGAGGACCAGAGTAAGATTCATCGTGGCGGTGCCAACAATTCCAGACTGCATGGCCAGTCTTCCCACACAATTGACACGTGATGCCGGCTCCACGCCCACAACCGCGACCTCTCGGGTCATCACGGTAATAAGGCAGCCGGCCTCTGCCGCTGTAGCTGCTGCCGCGGGAGGGCCCACCACGGCCACGAAATGGCCCACGGTCACGACCCCGGCCAGTACCCCATCCTGAATTAGTGAACAATGCATGGTGAAGATCTGTTGACGAGGGAGAACCAGAGTCCCCAAGGTGTAGTTTCTTCTCAAAGGTGAGATTTAATTCTTCAGAGAGCAACCACGCTGATACTTGATTAAATGTGACGGTTGCAATATTAGTACGAATGTCCTCATGAGCCAATTTCAGAGATGAGACAATAGTGAGAACAGTGTTCAGGTATGTTTGCATTGAATCAGTGCCCTTTTGAATGCTATGCAGGTGCTCCTTCAATTGGAAAATATGAGTGCGGGAAAGAGAATTGTACTGTTGTTCGAGGTGATTCCAGATTGCAGCAGAGGTTGGAAGAGCATGAATACGAGTCTGAACGATTGGAGAAACAATAGCAAGAAGACAGGCCCGGATTTGAGCATCAACAAGTACCCATGAGTCATAAGCAGGATTGGGTTTCATAACCGGCGGTTCATACTTGCCAGGGGCGGCGGCTTTCTCGTCCAGAACAAGGGATGGAGGAGGCACTTCTGAACCATCAACATAACTGAGGAGACGATGAGCGACGAGATTTGCGTGAACCGTAGCAGACCAGGAAGGATAATTTGTATCATCAAGTTTGACCGGATTTAGAGATTGAAGATTCCGGACAAATAATTTTAGACCCGTAGGCAGACGATCCATGGGATCAGAAGAGAGGGCAGCCATGGCCGATTGGTAGAGACCAGGTCGGCGTCGTGGGAAAGACGAGAGAGAACAATCGGCTGGGCCGATTTTTTTTCCTTGTTACCGAGAAGAAGGAAGAGACGGATCAATAGGCTCTGATACCATATTTAATTATGATTTCAACTCAAGGAAATAATTGTGTACAAGGTAGTTTATATAGATGGAGATTCCTATATCAATTAGGATTCTCCAAGTATGGTAATTAACTATAATAACAATCCTTCCATAACTACACCTATTACCATAGTTATCTAACAGAAAATATTTTACTAAGAATAAATTCAATAAAAGATCCCCAATTATAGGTCGTTTTTACATATTTAGTACCTATATATGAAATAGCAATAATTTAGTCCCTAATTATTATATTGTTTTTTCCACAAATAGTCATGTGTTAACATTTCTGTTAAGAACATAGATAAAATTATATATTTACACTCCTCTCTCTTCAATTAAGCTTCCTCCATCCTCTCGTACTCATTCGCAAACCTGTCACTGAATTTGAAGCTCTAAACCGAAAACCGAAGCGATCACTCCTCTCTCAATTGTTCATCTTCCTGGTAGAACTCAAAATCAAAACCAATAAGGATGAATTTTATGGGTTAGTCTCAGGAAATTACAAAGAAAACAAACCTTAAAACTTATTCATCAAAATTACTGGTTTCGATTTTGGATTCCACCGGGAAAATGAACAATTGAGAGAGATGATTGATTTCGGTTTTGGGTTCAAAGCTTCAAACTCAACAACAGATTTGGAAAAGGACTGCAGGAGGAGAGATGAAGCTTAATTAAGGAGAGAGATGAGCGTGAATTTATAATTTTATTCATGTTTTTAACGAAAATGTTAACAAAGGATCATTCGTCGAAAACAATATAATAATCGGGAACTAAATTATGTACTCCGTATATTTGATATGTAGGGACTAAATATGTAAAACGAACTATAACTGAGGACATTTTATGGAATTTACTCTTTTACTAAGAAACCTCTAATCACCACCAAAGATTTGAAGTACTTTCATATAAAACTTGAGAGAGTAGAGTGGGGCATTTTTAAAAAATGACAGATCTTCCTCAATTGTAATTACCAATTCACTAGATTACCATAAACAAGAGAGTTTTTCTTTTTATTTTTTCTTTTTTTTTTGTTACCATAACATATTACCTTGGCACGCTAGCCAACTCCGAACTCGTTAGCCACTGGGGTTTGGATATCAAGTACTGTTGGAGGAATGATAACTCCAAATATTAACATTTGCCCGATGCCCTAAGAATATAATCCCAATCACTACAAACCTACCTGGCTTACTTCTGCTGCTACAATCCACAGAACACACAACTCAGAGGCTCAAAACCTGTCCACCAAGGAATACAAACGATGCAATAATGAACATGGATTTTACTAATGAATGTGTAAAGCGCAAAACTGCTACACAAATACTGGCGCATCTATAAACGAATGATTCCTACTGTACTCATATCACCTCCTGTAAACTATAGCATCAGGGAGACCTATTCTTTTTAGGTATTGAATGGCCAACCAGCTTGAAAAGGACACATATGCTACAAACAAACAAACTCTCTTTAAACGGACTGCATTACATCGATTTAGCCAGCCAGCCACGGCGAGTTGGCTAGAGCTAGTCCTGAATTTCGACACAAGTCTCGCCAAGGATATGATAACATACGAGGAAAAGAACCCAGAGAGCAGCCCAGCCACCACACCCCATCTCAAGCCACTTGGTAAATTTGAACTGGCAAATGCAGATTTTAATATCCTCCTGAACCTGCCACATATAAACAAACCTCTAGTCACATACACTGATACACCTCAACAACAATAACAACAACAAGAAGAAGAAGAAGAAGAAATCGAGTATATAATCCCAACTTTGTTGGGGTCAGGGAGCCATGATGTGTGCAACCTTACCCCTATAAAAAACAGAGAGGCTGATTTTGTTAGTGACATACACTTCTCAGAGGACAAAATCCACTCTAATCACACGCATGATCATAAATTTTAAATACCAATCAAGGGTCATGATCAAAGAGGACCTAGTCTTGATAATCATGTAGATTATATGCAGGAAAAAAAACACGGAACAGGATGATAGCAAGAATCTGCTGGACTTAAATAAAAGATCATCGCAAAGTTATGTTTTTTCTATACATTATAATCTATCGGTATGGCTTTTTTTCCCAAACTCCCTCCAAGTCCATAGGCATGACCGTTGACCACTTACATGTTTTGTCATTCATTTTCTAGGGAAGAGGATAACATTCATACCCTAAGGGTTTGCCATCAAGTAGTGAGAAAATCGTGTTAGCATTGTTGTTGTCACGTCTCATGTGCTTATTGGCCTATTTGAAGATAAAAAATACTAATTACCAATTTCTATAAAAATGGTCAAATAATTATTATGATTCATATGTAGTACTTCCTCCGTTGTAGAGCGTTAGTCTAATTTGACTTTTTCCAGTCACATATGATTGTGATCATCAATTAAATAAAACTTGCATTGCATATTAATACAAAAACTCATTAGAACTGTCTCGCAAAAAAACTTTAAAAAAATTTGTACAAAGATGCAATGCAACTTTAATTTAATTGATGCTCAAATTTCTTCCGGTCAATGAAAAATTCAAATTAGATGAATACTTTCCGACAGAGTGAGTTTATTTTTATGATTTAATATATTCTGGTTTGGAAAAAGCTTTATTTTGGGATTCTGAATATATGCGAAGATATCAGTCTTTTAATGAGATCTGACTCGTGTATTTGTCCACTTTCCTTTTATGGTAAAATAAAAAAAGTGTAATACCTATTTTACCCTCCATCAACTACTCAATCCAACCAATCCAATAACCTTTCTATTACGACTTTCTCCCCTCCCCCCCCCCTCACGGTTCATCCTCAATCTTAGATCTAGATTTATTTTGGTGATCCTAGATCTAGATTTGGGAACACACCCACCATCCTTCTCAAATGTATTCGATTTTCTTCATCAATTTCACTTTTGGATCTAAAATTCAAGAGAGGAATGAGAACACAACATCACAAATGTTGCAGCCATGGTTCTAGGGCTAGACGCTAGACCCGAAGAAGCAATCACGCATTTCTATTCTGATGGGAATATGGGATGGACTGCCAACACCAATGGGAATATGGGGTGGGAGGCTGAATGGGAGATGCATGTTGTTGGGAAGATTGGCGGCGATGGAGTTGGGGAAGGAAGGTTATAGAGAATGATGCTGGTGAGGTGGCACGGCAGCAGATGGATGGTGTTATGCATCAGAGATGGGGGTGTGACGGTGGCGGGCAGGTGTGCGGCAGAGAGTTAAGAAGAAGGTAGCTAGTCAAAGAAAATATCAGGAGGGGTAAATGTGACGTTTTACTTTTATTATTCCCTCACCTTGGTATTTGTTCCAAAAAGAAAGTGGACAAAGAGACCGGGACGGAGGGAGTAGTTCAACATGGTATGAACGTATTCACTAGACATGAGAGGAGAGAGATAGCAACACATGAAAATTAAAAAAAAAAGTACAGGCCGCCATGAGCATATTTACATTTTTACAATATTCGTCATAAACACAATTCAATGATTGATTCACGGCTCCATGAAGACAATTGCAAGAAGTTTGTGAAAGCCATGTGGAGTCTGTTGTGTGGCCCTACATGTGAGAAAATTGTAGTCTCCTATTCTGAAATCAATATTCAGTTAAGGTTTATCCATATGTATGCCTCAGGCTTTAAGTTTTGTACTTAGAATGTTGAACAAACTGCTGTCAGCAACTTTATCTAGTGTTCATTTAATTCTTGCATTTTTAACTGTTTTTACGAAGGACTTTAATTCAGGCCCTTGGTATGGTAAAGTACCATAAGTTGGGGTGTACAATAAACTGACAACTTGGATAAATTTTTTCACTTCCTAAGTCAATCTGATCTGTGTGCACATAAAGCTATATTTTTAACAGTATGCCCTCCTTGGCGTGCCTCTAACAGTGGCACAAATTTTCAATTCAGGAAGAACCTATTGTCAGCATCTTTCAGAAATGAATCTATCTGGTTTTAAAGGAAATTTATGATACAGGCACATGATTAGTTATAGGTATTTTATTTAGTGAAATGGCCATTAGTTTCCTGTTATTATGGCAAAATGATAAAAAGAATCCCACATTTGAATGATCAAACAAAAATAATCTCAGGATGCACTTCTAACATAAGAAATCCCAAGCTGTAATGTGGTTAACACCATTAGTCCTGACCATAACTCTGTTATAACTCTCCATTTTCGTGAGATTCTGTTATATGCTACCAAAAGTAAAAAGAAAATCATATTTTAACCACAATTTTTTAATTGGGGATTAAATTTGAGTGACTCAAGTGTCGTTAGAAGGTTTACTCCCTCCGCCCTAAAATTAAATTTCGAAGTTGACTAGGTACGCATATTAAGAAAGTGAAATTGTGTGATTGTGGCACACATATTAAGAAAGTGAAATTGGGTTATTGTGGCACACATATCTAGATAACCTTTTTACTCCACTTTGATAGTCTAAATCTTGATACCTGAGTCACAAGTTATGGTTGAGAATTTTTTAAAATTTGGGCCAAATATAGCATAATATAATGAAAATGAACAGAGTCATTTTGGAGTTAAGTCAGGATTACTGATATGAACCACATTACAACGTGCAATTATTTATGTCAGAAGTGCATCATGGGATTAGGGTTGTAAACGAATCAAATCAAAAATAAAGCATACTCCGCTTTTGTGAACCTAACTTAATAGACTTTGACAAGGTCAAGCTTCTCTAGGGCTTCCGCCACGAACCACCCTCTTCCTACATAGACTCTCTCAAGGACGAACCAGCCCTATCCCTCCTATGCCCGTAACACTTTAACTAGTAAGCAAAGTTTAATCCAAATGTGTTTGATAAAGGGAAAAACGGAGAAACAGTCATTTTATGAACTCACGGGTAAACAGATTTGGGAATCAGATCACAACACATTCCATTTTCACATTAGGTTCAAGTTTTAGCTGCAGGAAGATGAAGCAGTGATAAATAACCAAACATCTATTCCTAAATATCAGGAGTAATGGAAATAGGTATAGATTACTGCATATTCTCTAAAGCGCGCCTGAGGCACTATTCGTACGAAGGGCAGG